TGAGGCTAGCCTAATTTACATGTTGAGTTCCAGGCTAGTCAGAGCTACGAAATGAGATGCTGCCTCAAGAAAAGAGAAGAAGGGGGCTGGAGAGATGACTCCAGTGGTTAAGAGCACTTATTGCTTTTGCAGAGGACCCGGGTTCGATTCCCAGCACTCACAATGCAGCTAACAATCATCCATAACTCCAGTTCCAGCTCTTTTCTGACCTCTGCAGGCATAGCATAATAGGGGTGCACTTGAATGCATACAGGCAATATTCTCATATACACTAAAATAAAAATGATAAAAAGAAATTTTTGAAAAAGAAAACTGCATTTAAATATCTGAGCAATTAAAGCTGCTTTCAGAATTTATAACTTCTTTTCCTTATGTGTAAAGGGTTTTTAAATGAAGGTTTTAATAAACATTTTAAGACTTGGTTAGGGTATACACCATAGCATCTCATAGCTTAAGTACAATTCCTCTTCAGTTCTTAGAACTGTTTCAAGAACTACATTGTGCAGAAATTTTGAAGTGTTGGAAAGAAAGCAGCAGTGTGTCTTGTAGCATGTGGGGTGTGACCCCACTGGCAGTAAAACTCTAAACTCTTCTACCAAGAAGAACCTCTTACTCTTCTGAAGAGGTTCCTGGGTAGGAAAGAGACAAGACTTTCTGAAAACTTTTGTAGCAAATTTTTAATGGATTGATTGGAAATTTTTTATCTATACCTACTAAGTTTAATTACAGATCTCCTAGTAGCAGTGGGATGGTTCATTGATTAAGCATTTACTGCTCTTTCAGAGAACCTGGATTTGGTTCCCACCATCCACATGGTGGCCAACAACCATTTGTAACGCCAGTTCCAGGGAATCTGAGGCCCTCTTCTGGCCTTCATGGGTATTGCACACATGTGGCATACATGCAGGCAAAACACTCGTACACATAAAATAAAACTAAATCTTTAAAAAAAGTTTAAATGTCCTTATTTGGTTTTGGGTCTATTTTGTTTTTATTTTGTAGAGGATCTTATAAAGGACCTTTTTAAAAACAAACAAGTAAAAATATATATTCATCTGTTTTTGAAGTTAATCAGAGCTATAAAATATAAAGGAAATGGTTTTTCAAGCATTAAACAGGCATAGTGGCACCTGCCTATAATCCCATCTTCTCAGGAGGTTGAAGCAGGAGATCACACGTTTAAAGCCTGCCTGGGCCACATAGTTCAGGGCCAGCCTAAGAAATTTTGCTTTAAAAAATAAAAATGAGTGTTTTTTTTTGAATTTTTATGTATTTCATATAGAACATCTCAATCGATCTTAATCATCTTTATGTCCCCTTCCCCACTGTTACCCTCCCAACATGCCCCCCCCAAGCCACTGGAACTCATGCATTCTGTCATTTGTGTGAAGGCTTGTGTGTCAAGTTAGTGTCCCCCAGACGTTCCTCTGTGCAAGTTCATCTACTGAGGGTCTAGTCAGCTTATCTAGAGTCCCTTGCTTTAGGAAGATCAGCTCTTCCTTACCTAGCAGTAATCAGTTGCCAATATTTCTTCAGCTAAAATAGGAGTCTGCTGTCCATTTCCCCAGTTCTATGCTGGGTTTTTGTCTGCTTGAGTTTGCATGGGACTTGTCACCATTGCTGTAGATTCATATGAGCATGGTCCCAGGAACTTGTAGGACTCAATTTCCATATGGTCGTGTACCTCCTCCCTGGCTATTACAATCTTTCCACGCCCCTCATTCACAACACTCCTTGAGCCCTGGGTGGGTGAGGTTTAGTATAGGAGTCCTGTCCAAGGACCAAGATTCTACAGACTCTTAATCTCTACAATTTGACCATTTGTGACCTTTTGTGTTCATGGCCCTCCACTGCATGAGGGAGATTCATTTATGAGAATTGAGAGATTGATGAGTGTCCTCTTTACCCCTGTTCTATGTTCCATGAGCCTTAGTTGTAGAGGTTGCATTGTAGATGTGTCACTTAGGCCCGGGCAATTCATAGACAATATCTGTGTGTGACATCCAGATTGGAAAAAGATGAAGTTAAAACTCTCCTTATTTGCATATGATGTGATTCCATATGCAGAAAATTCTGAGTCACCCAAGAACAAAAAATGAACTATTTAAATGGAGTGTATGGAAATACTCCTTTCTGTCTTCACAGAAAATGATGCAAATATAAAACTTTTTTAAATCAAAATTTTGTTTTAAAAATAAAAAAAATTAAATAAAAATATGACTGGGCATATAGCTCGGTGGCTTAGTGCTTGCCCAGCATATACAAGGCCCTGGGTTTACTCACCAGCATTGGAGAACAAAAAGCATTCTGACATTTACTGTCTATATAATGGCCAGTAATAAGAGATAAAGAGGAGGGGAAACAGAAAGTAATAAAAGCTGTTTATGAGTGTAGTGTTAAGCATAGTGCTTTACATGTCTAATTCTACAATACCTTGTAGAATAGGTGCCATCACCTTGGTCTACAGTGGAAGGAACAGGGGCCGAAAGTGCTACATAATCTGTCCATGGATCTGAATACCACCTAGTTGTAGAGCCACCAGCTTACCATGATGCTTCAGTACAGAATTGAATCAACACAAGAGTAGACCGGCCAGTGCTCACAGAGCAGACCTAGAGACAGAACTCCTTGGGCAGAAAGAAAAAAAGACAAAGATTTATGCAGTAACATCCCCATCTAGTGGTGTTTCAGTGTGTTTTTTAATATTTCAGGTTAAAATTTAATAACAGATGAAAGTTTTTGGAACTGAGAAAGCTTAAAAAGTTTAGAATAAAATTTTATACAGTATTAGCTCTTTCATTCATTTTTTCCTATATGTTTTGAGCATAGCTTTAAGTTTATATAATGATAAAGAGTAGGTAGAGATTATTTGGGGCAATCTTTGGTAGGAAAATATTAAGTACTTTATGGAAATGAGCCCTATTAACTGTAAGCTATATTCTCTCTCCCTTTTTCATCTTTGTTAATGTAATCTTTGTTCATATGTATGCTATTTTCTATTTTTGTCACTTTACAAACATTCATTTTTTTTAAAAGAAGTGTTGAAGTCTAATAATTATTTCATTATACTATTCATGGATAGGAAATTGTCTCTTATTGAATATTTTAGATTTTTAAAAAATTTAACCAATAAGCTTTTAGAAATAAACAATGGTAACTTGTACAAGATTGAATCTAAAGAGAAGAGGTATTATTTAAACCTTTTATCTTGAAATAATGCCAAACTTATAAAAATCATGAAATTCATTAACCAGGTTCACTAATTTTGTGTGCATGTGTAGGTGTATGCGTGCACGCACGAATGCTTGTATGTGTGGAGGCCAGAGGTTAACTTTGGGTTCCTTTTTAGACAGGGTCTCTCACTGGGACCCTTGGGCTTGCTGATTCAACTAGTTAGGCTGCCAGCAAGCTCCAGAGAACCTCCTGCCTCTGCCTCCTCAGTTCTGGGATTACAAGTGTGCATCATCATGCCCCAGCTTTTGTAATTCACTAATTTTTTTTTTTTTGCATTTCCACGTTTATTATTCAGTGCACACATTTTTCTCTAAACCACTTGAGAATTGGCTGTATTTGTCATGCCCTTTAGTTTTTGTTTGTCTTGGTTACTATAGTTTATATTTCCTGAGAACAAGAATATTGACAATATAGATTTAATAAACCATCTCTTGATCTAGTCATTGAAACAGTGCTATAGTCTTAATAAATGCTTAATAAATAAAAAGAGAGAGAGAGAGAGAGAAGTGCAAAGACTTGATCTGACCAAGCATATGAATCAGGACAAAGCAGAAATAATTATACATTTCGTAAAGTTACTTGTATATTCTATAAACATTTGAGTGCCTAGGCATTGCACTGAAGTTTGAAGAATAAAATTATCATCATCAGGAGGCTGGGGGATGGCTCATTGAGTTAAGTATTTGGTATGCAAGCATGAGGACCCACGTAAAAGCTGGGCATGGCAATGCATGCCTATAATCTCTGTGCTGGGGAGCAGAGATTAGGTGGATCCCAAGGATTTGCTGGCCAATCTTGCCAAATTAGTGAGCTCCAGGATTAGTGAGAGACCATCTCAGGAAATAGGATTTTTGAGGACGACATATGACAACCTTTGGCCTACATATTTGCACATGGGCATGTAAACACAAACACAACATCACACAGATGATGTACAAACACAAGGTAGCTTTGAAAATTTAAGTACAGAATACATTATAACTCAGAGGTGGAAAGCTTTGAGGAGAAAGGTTGCAGAGAATTAAGGAATTAATTTCTAAGGCTAGGAAGTGGCAGAAGTGCATAGCATGAATTCAGGAAAATTGGCAACACAGAAAAAAGCAATAGTTAACCAAGAAGAAAGTTAGCCAGAAGAATTGAACTTTTTTTTGTCTCTTCCTTTACACAATGGGTTGACCTGGTTGAGTGTCAGACATACTGCAGGAGGAATGAAAGAGAGGTGTGTCATGCTTAGCTTGGGAGCAGGGAAAAGGCTATTTATGTAGAACTGAAAGGATGGCTGTGGAAAAAGTGTGGATGTAGTACAGAATACACTTCAGTGATTGAGATACGGTTTTCATAGCAATGGAAGAGAGAAAAGTGAGAAGCTAGAAGCTTGGGGAGCATGGAGACATAGAATATGCTTTGAAGTGATAGTTAACACAGGAAAGTGATGAAAAATGCTGCTATACAGTGGTCAGGGACAAGGAATGATTCATTAAAAAATGATGTTGGATACATTTCTGCGTAGTTTTTCGACAAAACTGTTTTGTCCAGAAGTAAAGTCAGGTTATTCTTAAATTGTTAAGAAATAGAAATATCTGGTTTCTTGCTAATTTTTGTATAAAAGAATGAATGGTAAAAGAGTTGCATGTGTTTTTTCATTACTGTTTTGCTTCATTACTATTTATTTCATTTCAGTGATCTTTTTCTCTTCCTGCATGGTAAGGAGAGCTGCCCTTCTCACCTCTGTTACCTATCATTCTTCCTTCCTCCATTTTTCACAGCATGCTATTTCTCTGAGATGTCCCAGCAAGCAGCCCAAGCGTCACATTGATTTCACAGAAGAACAGGCTGAGCTGACACCTGTAAGTCCTATAAACATGTAATGGGACTATTTAAATAATCAACGAAGAATACATTCATTAGAATTCCAAATGATGAAGTCTTGTCATATGATAACCTCAATATTTCAAATAAAAACCAAACCAAGCCAGGCATGGTGGCGCTCGCCTTTAATCCCAGCACTTGGGAGGCAAAGGCAGGCAGATCTTTGTGAGTTCAAGGCCAGCCTGGTCTGCATAGTGAGTTCCAGGACATCTGGGGCTACAAGGAGACTCTGTCTCTAAAGAGAAAAAAAAAAAAAAAAAAAAAAAAAAATAAAAAGAAAAAGAAAAAAAAAAAATAAACATAAAAAAAAAAAAAAAAAAAAAAAAAAAAAAAAAATTAAAAGTGAATGAGCAAAAACAGATAAGCAGCTTTATGATATAATACCATTGAATATTAATACAGTAAAGTATGTAAATGATGGAATATCTGATACAGAGGATTTTTTTATTGGAACCACTTTAATAAAAGTGAATCTAAGGGCTTTTATCAATTTCTTAAATGCCCTAACAGATTTATCTGTTCCTTGGGGATTTGTCGTTAAGTACACTGATACTTAACTGAAAACGTAGGTTCTTAAAATATATATATTCTCTGGTTAGTGGTTGACAAATCTGGATGCTTCAGAGGTAGCTGCACTGTTCTTGTGGTAGTCACTAGCCATATGTGGCTGTTAAGTAATTAAAATTTGGTTACTCCAAATTGAGATGTGCAAGAAAGTAAAATACACACTGCATTTTGAAGGGTTAATACAGAAAAAAAGAATACATATGTTTCATTTGATTTTTTTTAAATTACTGGTTGAAGTGATATTTGGGATTTTCTTGTTAAGAGATAAATTTCCTGTTTAATGTGACTACTAGAAAAATTTTAATTACATTTCTGGCTTGTTTTGTGTATTTCCATTGGACAGTGCTGCTTTAGAGTATCTGCAAAGCATAAGGGAGGGGTGGAGACCACAGTCCCTGAGTCCTGCCCAATTAATTCATATTTTCTCTTTCACTCCCTCTCTTTCTAAACTTAAAAATATTGGATATACTGGGAGTTACACAATGAATTAATTTCACATTCCACTAATAGGTTATATCCCACCAAGTGAAAAGCACATCTCTAACTAACCTCCCCTCTACTCCTTATCTAATATTTTTAGCTATCAACCACACTTCCCACAATTCTTGCTTGTCTTATTCTACCAAAGCCGTACCTCTCAATTCTTTTAATCCTAACACCCCCCTTTTATTACAAATAATGTTAATGCTATCTCTGCTATCATAAAGTTTAAAGCCCATATAATCTCTCTACATACCTACTTTATAAATGAATGTGATGCCTTAACAGCTAATATGAAGAAAAATAAAAATTAACCCAAAATAATTTAAACTATTTCAATCCATAAATGTTTGACTGCCACTTTTAAAAGATGTAAAATAGTAGTCAGAATCTATCCACTTATAAATCAGGATCCGTAAGTGAAGTGAGAAGATCAGAAGTGTCAGTGTGTATATGTGTTTGTCTATTAACAAGTACAAAACAGGGCAGAAATACGAAGAGTTCCCAGAATTATGTTATTGTATTATGATTATGTGTTATGATAATGGCAAAAATGACATATTTGTATATAGTAAAAGAAAATGGGGAAATAACCTTAACTGAGGTAGGGGTAATGTTATGCTAATATAATTTACAGTCAAAATGGGAACAAAGGAATGTAAACAGTTTGAGTTCCCCTTGCCTTAACACACTAAGTATGTGGATTATAGGCATGCCCCCATTTCATCTGGCTCCTGAGATGAGTTTTAGTTATGGTTATAGTAATAAAGTCATTTGTAGTCTTAAATGAGATGGGGTAGTAGTAATAAATGATTTTGATACTTGATTTTATACATTTCTCATTGTGTTTTACTTAAATAAGAAAAAATGATGTGGGGGTTCGAGAGATGGCTCATCACTTAAGAGCACTGGCTGCTCTTGCAGAGGACCCTGGTTTGGTTTCCAGCACCCACATGGCAGTTCACAACCGTCTGTAACTCCAGTTCCAGGGCATCTGATGCTCTCTTCTAACCTCCTCAGGCATTGCTAATGACGCTCAATGAAAATTCCTGCATTTCATATCTTCATGAATGTAGTATTTAGTTCTTAATTTTATTCCAAAGAATTTCAAGTTTCTTTGTATAGACACTGATAACGCCAGTTTTGATTGGATAACAGAGGGTAATAGGGAGGGTAAATAAGAGCAAAGTACTATGTCAGGCATATACGAAAGCTAATGAAATCCATGGTTTTTATTTAAAAAAATAAAAGGTCTAGAATTTTTCTCAACCTATTTTATAAGACAAATATTCCAAAATTCATTGAAATTAATGCTATATAAAATTACTTTGTGTTTATACATAAAATGGAATTGGGTCCTAATCTCAGATGGTTATAAACAAGATTTCTCATTTGTATGATTTTCCCTGTAAGGAAATTAAAATATTATGTTGGATGGGATGTGAACTTTTATGTGGCATTGTGCCCTTGCTTATAGAACATCTAGCACTTTTGTCTTCCTTCTCAATAAATGCTGTCAATTCTTCTTTTTTATTCTGAATGCTCAAAATAGCCTTGCCATTTTGAGATGCCTACTTAAAACCAGAGAGCTTTTGGTCTCAGATATTTGCTTTCTCATTTCTCCCACTTGTCCCATCCTTTACAGCCTTGTAGTCATCTTCCAGGACTATACTTCTTCAGGGATACTTTACTAAGCCCCTAATTTTGGCAAGAAGGTACTCATCTTCATGCTCCCATGCCACCTAACACACTTCATTATAGTTTTCAGTGAGAGATACAAAGAATTATTAGGGAGATATGGACCAAGCAAAGGAGGTTCTATCAAGGAGTAGGGAGTGACTGCCTTTATCTCCAGTATCTGGCATGACTCCACACTTAAAGTTAGAGCCTAAAAATAGTTGAATAAATGAAAGAAAGTGAAAAAACATAAGCTAAAAAAGAAACATACAGGCCTTGATTTTGTGTTTATTTTTTATTTTATTGTGTATTATCTGTCTGTCTGATAGGGGAGCAGGGCATGGGTGCCACAGGTTGCTTGTGGAGATCAGAAGACAATTTTTGTAGTTGATCTCTCCTTCCACCTTTACATGAGTTCTGAGAATTGAATGCACGTCATCAGGTTTGTGCAGCAAGCGGTAAGCCATCTCCACTAGCCAAACTTTGCGTTTATAGTGGCAAATAGAAGAAAATAAATGAAAGCCCTCCTATTTATATCAAACTTTTTGCTAACTATTAACATTGTCCAAGACACCTCAGTCCTTCAACTACACACCTCTTTTCTCATACTTGTGTCTTTCTCCAGTGATAAGCCCCATTCCCACTTCTTTCTGAAGAGGAAGAAATTATAGGAGCAGTGTATGACTGAATGATAGTAGAGGGAGAGATAGGTAAAGCAGGCATTTATTGAAGGGAGAATTTACTGCAGCTTTTGGTCTCTAGCTGCCATACTTTCTGCCACAAACTCTTGTAGTTTAGATAGAAGGAACATGCATCTGCTCTCCCTCCCTGCTAGTGACTAAGCAGTGAACTGTTAGGTCCAAGTGCAGCTGAATTTATGATTGTGTTTAGCTGTTAGGATCTCATTTCTTTTTGTTGTTGTTGTTGATTGTTTTTTGAGAGGGTCTCCCTAGTCACAGTCCACCTGGAAGTCACACTGTGAACCAGGGTGACCACAATCTCACAGAGATCCACCTGCCTCTGCCTCTGCCTACCAAGGGCTGAGATTCGAGACTCACGCCGCCACACCCAGGGTAGGATCTCATTTCTTACATGTGGCATATTTTTGGGTCAACAACGATAATGATTAACCCTTTTTAATTTTTTGACCTTTTAAACTATTTAAATAGCTTAATATTCAAAGTAGGTAACATTTTCTAATTCTTTAAACAAATGTAATTAATCATCATTGTCTCTTACTTACTGATCAAATGTAAATTCTTCAGGAACTTGAAGTCTTGAAGTAATATGAGTTTGCACAGCAGGGAAAGGCTTGTCTAATTCATGTCTTTATTTTTACCTAGAAGACATTTAAATCAAGAGAAGAAAACAATATCTTTACCAGTTTTCCAAATGTACTTTCTGTTGTTGAAAATTGAAAACAAAATAATTTTTCCCTTTTGCTTAGAATCTCATGTCCACATGCACTTTTTTTTTTTTTTTTTTCTTCTGTCTTTTTTGAAGCAGGGTCTCCCTGTAGCCCCAGCTGTCCTGGAACTCACTATGTAGGCCAGGCTGGCCTTGAACTCACAGAGATCTGCCTGCCTCTGCCTCCCAAGTGCTGGGACTACATGCACTTCTTAAAAGGCTCTGGGCATTCTGTTTTACTAGTGAACAGTGTCCTGTTCTCCAGTAAATATGTCATCCCAAATTATTATTTTGGACAAAAAATACTTTTTTCAGAGTATGCATGGTCCCCATTAGCTGAGCACACTACAATAGTACTTTCTTTTCATAAGTAAACTTTTTATTCTTGTTTATATTAATCACTAAAAAAATATGGTATTTAATATTTCTCTGATTTTGTTTTTGTTTTTGTTTTGTACTGGAAATCCAAACCCATGTCTTTCTTGTCAAAGTGTTTTATTATTTATTGTGTGTGCACATGCATATTGGGGTGGAGCAAGGGAGGCATGTGCCTGCCAGAGCGCCTGTGTGGAGGTCTGAGGACAGCAACTTTAGGAAGTCGATTCTGTCTGTCCTTCCATGTTTTGAGGCAGGGTTTCTTTTGTTGTTTCTGCCATGCTTTTTGTATTCCTGGCAGCTTTCTTGTCTCCACTTCCCATCTTGCTAGAGCAGTGCAGGGATTACAAGTGGGGACCACTGCATGTGGCTTTTTACATGGATTTCAGGGATCAAACTCAGGTCATCAGGCTTGCACTGCAAGCCACTTTTACCTACTGAGTCATCTCCCTGGCCCCTGAATCTATTCCTTCCCTCCCTCCCTCCCTTCCTTCCTTCCATCCACCCTTTTAATTTTGAACTTAGCAATTAAAAAAAATTTTTTTTTTTAAATTTTATGTGTATGAGTGTATTGCCTGCATGTATGTGAATGCACCTGTGTCATGCAATGCCGCGGAGGTCAGAAGAGGGCTTTGGATTCCCCTAGAACTGGAGTTAAGGATGGTTCATAGCCACCATGTGGGTACTGGGAATCGAACCCGAGTCCTCTGCAAGAGCAGTCAGTGCTCTTAACCACTGAGCCATCTCTCCAGCCCCTAAACTTAGCAATTTTTATTATGAGCCTTAAAATGATTATATCTATTGACTGAAAAAAATCCACTTTTAGTAATCTAAGGCTGGATCTATTGTTAAGCAGCAACAACAAAAATACTTTTTGAAAACCAAATGCTAAATACAATTTTTAGAACTAAATACTATATTGCGTATATTTTGTAAACCACTTTCAAGCTTAAATTTGAATTTGATATCTGAAATTATATTTTATCAAATCATAGTTTATGTGGATAGCATGCAGCAGATTGCTTTTTTTTAAACTTGAAATGCAAGATAGACTCAGTGGCTAAAGGCACCTGTCACCAAGCCTGCTGACCTGGGTATGGTTCCCAGGACCTGTGTGGTAGAAGGAGAAAAGTGACTCCTGTAAGTTTTCTTCTGACCTCCACACAAGCACTATAAAATATTGGTGCCAACATACATATACAGCTATACACACAAAATAAATAAATGTAATAAAACGTTTTTTTAATAAACCTGAAATATGGTTACCCAAATATTGATACTCCACTATTTGGGGCTCTTTTTCTGGAAAATTAATCTTTATAAGATAAATTGAGGTAGGTTTTCAAGAAATTGCTTTCTTGGGCTGGAAAAATGGCTCAAGAGGTAGGTTTTCAAGAAATTACTTTCTTGGGCTTCTTGCACAAGTGTGAAGACTGGCATTTGAATTCCCAGAACCCACATAAATGCCAAGTGGGCATGGTGGCCCTCCTGTAATCCCAGCCATAAGGAGACAGAGACTGGGGACTCTCAGAGCAAGCTAGTTAGCTAGCCTAGACAAATCATTGCACAACACAGGTGCACTTATATACATGCAGACAATGCACATAAATTTTTTTTTTTTTTTTTTTTTTTTTTTGAGACAGGGTCTCCCTGTAGCTCCAGCTGCCTGGAACTCACTCTGTAGACCAGGCTGGCCTTGAACTCACAGAGGATCCACCTGCCTCTGCCTCCTGAGTGCTGGGATTAAAGGCGTGCACCACCACGCCTGGCTAAAAAAATAATAAAGTATTTTTTTAAAAATACATATTTTTCTCATGTGAATAACAAAAAAATGAGTGAATAGAAGCAATGAAAGTTGCAGCTGATATTTTTAAATTTTGCTTTTTATTCTTTATCCTTCTCAGTTTTCTCTCTGGTCTGATCTCATCAATAACCTTGAACTAACTTGAGTTTTCAGAAATTTCTGCCTAACTTATGGATGAGCCAAGCAAGCCAACCACTCTTTTATTTTTAGGAGGACTCAGCATATGGATAAATAAGGGCCTAGGAGTAATTTTCTCCGTTCTTAGTGTTTGACCTTTTAAGTGACAATTATGAGGAATGCTCACCCCAGCCCTTAGGTTTCTTTTTGTTACTTTTAGGGAATGGATGAGAGGGACCCAGTATACAGGTTCATCTTGAATTAAAACCGAGTATTGGCAGTATAAGCATAATAAATGCAATATAATGAACTCCTGAGCAAAGTTTAAGTTTTGAGCAAAGTTCAACTTATAATAGTATTTCCAGCCTTGAAGTAATGTACTTTTTCATCTGTGACCTATGCCTTTTGAGAGTGACTACAACTCTACTATCAGTACATTTAAGTTTCTTTCCAAAGAATTTGTCAAAATAATTTGGCGCAGGGGCCTGTAGAGATGGCTCAACAGTTAAGAGCACTGACTGCTCTTGCAAAGGACTCAGGTTTGTTCCCCAGCACCCACATGGCAGCTAACAACCATCTATAACTCCAGTTCCAGGGGATCTGACACCTTCTTCTCACCTCCTTGGGCATTGCATAAGTGCATTTACATACATGCAAGCAAAACACTCAAACACATAAAATTAAATTAATTAGTCGGGCATGGTGGCACATGCCTTTAATTCCAGTACTCGGGAGGCAGAGGCAGGCAGATCTCTGTGAGTTCAAGACCAGCCTGGTCTACGTAGTGAGTTCCAGGACAGCCTCTTCTGACCTCTGCAGGCATTACACGACACAGGTGCACTTACATACATTCAGGCAATACACTCATATAAATAAAATAATAATAATAAATAAAATATTTAAAAATAATTTGATACAGCTTTATAAAATACAACATTGTGGAACATCTTTTGTACAATACAATTCAGCATATATTGCTTTAAATAATAAAAGTAATTACCAGTGTTAAATACTAATTCAGATTTATTAAGGGGCCGATGAGTTCAAAGTTTGTATGTATCAAAACAGTTGCAGTTTAAAAATAAATACAATTACTAAGCTTATATTATAACATACTACAAAAAAGTTACTAAAGGGGTAAATGGTAGTTAGGGACTATGTTATTCACATCATTCTTGGAAAAATATATTAATTGAATTAATTTAAATCAGTTCAAGGGGAAAACAATATTCATAATATTCACTTTCTGTGTAAGTACTTCACTGGGTAACATGGTCCTGTAACGAATGAAAATAAAATATCAGGCAAAATACTTTTGGGTGTTTTTCCTCTTAGTGTGGCTATCATTGAATTAATGATAGATACTTGCTGACGTTTTAAAGATGTTTACTGTGTTCTCAACAGACTGTACTGTGTAAAGTTCTATAAATCCTGCAAGTGTTTTAACAACAGGAAGGGCTATGTTTAGTTCTTAGTCTCTTGTCACATTTTTAGTTGTGTACAGCACTCTTGAACACTGGCCTGTAAGCCAAACTGGCTCTATAGTCTTTGCATTTATTATCCAGAGCACTGTCAAAGCCAGGAATCAGCAAGAGTCTCCTGGGACACTTCCATGGGCATAGATGGGATCTTTACCTCTCACCTCCTTTACTTTTCTGTTTTCATTTTATTTATTTTTCCTTATGGACCTATTCCACTCTGTTTACAAAAATAAATATGAGATTAATGTAGAGTCATTCTTGCTTTGTCTATTTTATATTTTAAAACACATAAAGCCTCCACTGACTTCTGTTATTGCCTTTTTTGTTTGTTTGTTTTTCTCTCTCTTCCTGCACAAGCACTCCTATCTGGACAGGGAAACCTCCCTTCTTCTGAGAAACATTGCAGGAAAACCTTCTCATTTGCTGACCAAGGTGATGCCACTGCTTTCCACGTGCATGTAACTATTTACTGCCTTGTAGATAGAATATGATTTCTGGTTTTGATTGTACTCTTGAATATTTGCTGTCTTATTTCAGCACGTTTATCTTTAATGGGGGTGCTTTTTCTCTTGTTGAAGGTAATTATCTTCCTAATCTTAATGACTGTTAATACTGAGTCAAAAATATGTTCAGTAATTTTCACTTGTTTTTAACTTTTATAAATGCCTAGTATTCTTCCAAGTATGTTGTACTTTTTTCTAGTTTAATGTTCTATTGCATTTTAAAGTCTAAAAACATTGCTTGAATTTAACTTTTGTTACTAATGGTTTCACACTAGGAGTTTCTTTGCAAACTTTACAGCCCTTCTTTACATTATCACCTCCTGGTTAACCACAACATTTACTTACATAGACAGAATCTTGATTTATGTTAGCTCAGTCTTACTGGAAGAGAAGATCACAATTTGAATTTTTCAGTTCTCCCTCAGGCATTTGATTCACTCCAGCTGGATTTTCACTGGGATAGTATTTTACAGTTTAAACTCTTAGCAATTTTTATCATTAACTAAGTAACAATACAATCAAGGAGCTGAATGGCTTTCAAGATGTTCTAGTCATGACTTTATTTCATTATCTTTAGGTAATGTAATATTAAATTTAAGAAGCAAACTTGCTTATAGTTTCTGAGGAATAGACATAGAGTTAAAAGCTATGTATGTTATATCTGAGAGAGTTTTTTTTTTTTTCTGTTTCATTTCTTCCTAACATAAACCTATGAAAGACAGTAACTAAAATTAAAATCTCCCCAAGAAGCAGCTCAAAGAAAAAGACTCTGGCCAAGTGAGTTGTGAGACTCCTTTTCCAGATTTCTTTTTTAAAGCAAATATTAGTTAGAAGCATAAAGATCAGGGAAGTATAGAAATCTAAGCATTCTTAGCCTTTATATATACTTTATAACCTAAGCAAAGTTTTTCTTTCATTTCCTCAGCGCTCTCTCTCTTTTTCTTACTCTCTGCCTCTGTGGTGTCTACCTCCCTAGCTTCAGCTAGGATCTCAGTTCTAGATGGGAGCGCTAGCTCTCACTTGGTTCTGTGTGCCCTTTCTCTGTTCCCATCTCTGTCTCTCCTTGTTCCCCCTCCATTTCCAGAAAGTTGATAACTGTTAGGGTTTCCTAGGATATTATCAGCATCTTACCAACACTTAAATCCTCCAGGTTAAATACTACATTCTCCCAGTGACACAGGTTGATCACTCTGATTGCCCTCCACCACCTTACTTTTCACTTAGTGCCTCAAATCTATAATGAGTCTATTGTACTCTTCCTTGTTTATTGTGTTTACCCATCTGTTTCATTTCCATTGCCCCCAGCATAATAGTAATCTCTTAGCTCTTATCAGAGCTCTATCGTGGTCTCTTAACCTATTCCTGTCCCTCATCTCTTTCTTACATTGTTCTCAGATTCTAACATTGTTCTAACATTTTACTTTTTCCATTGCCCATTTATTCAGTAATGTGTATTGACCTATGTTCTATGCAGCATACTAGTTAGTATACAACATTGTGTAAAATGGACATATTCCTTACTCTAAGGAGTACATAGTCTATTTATGAAGATATAATAGCCAGGTGTGTTATGCACACCAATAATTTAGCACTTGGAAGATAAAGGTGAGATGATCAGGAGTTCAAGACTATCCTCAACTATATAACCAGTTTGAGACCAGCCTGGGGCTACAGGAGACCCTATCTCCACAATGTGTATATATTATATATTAGATAGATAGATAGACAGGCAGACAGACAGATAGTTAAGATAGACAGACAGACAAAACATTAAATTATGTTAAGTCCTATGAAAGAAACAGTAGAAAAATAATGAAAAGAAGATTAGGGATTCATTTCATTGATGTTGAGGTCAAAAAGGCCCTTCTAAGTGGGTGAACTTGAAGCTAAAGCCTAAAGGATGAAAAGAAGCCAGCTTTAGGCCTATTCCATGTAGATAGGCTGAGGGAACAAAACCTGTCCTGTTTGAGAAGCTGAAGACCATGTTGCTGGAGCCACCATAATATAGTAAAGGTAAAAGTGTTTGTACAGAATATTCAAGTCATGCCAGGGCATTTATATATTTCTCTGAATGCAGTGGAAAGCTATTGGGGGAAAAAAATAACATCATCTGTTCAACAAATAATTACCAAGCACTTTATATGTATGTGTCAGTGTTTATGGCCCTGGAAATATGGTCAGTAAACAAGTTCCCAGCACAGGAAGATTTGTACTTTGCAAGTTTGGGGTAAAAGGGTCACTTTTCATCCCCTTCTGCCCAAGAAACAGCAATACAGATTGAAATAGGAAAACCATTCCTACCCACAGCTCATGGGGGATTGGTATATCTGGCCAGCATCTGGCTCTAGCTACCCACTATATACCACCCTACTTATGCAGTAAGAAATTTGACCTGGAATGTAATTGAGTAGTATAAGAGTAGGCTTGGGCTGGAAACATGGAAAAGGTAGCAAACATTCCTAGGTAACCCCGGGCCACAGAGCCTCTCAAATGAGCCTGTTCCTGTTGCTGTCAGTGCCATCTCTGTCAGAACACCTGACTCTTGTGAAGGTAAATTATGTCCCCCTCCCTTTTTGGTGCTGGGTATTAAACCTAGTACCTTTCACGTGCCCAGCATGTACTCTGCCACTGAGTTATACTTCCAGCCTCAAGTACATATACCTCTTACATTCCACCTGTGGAGTAGTCTGGGTCTCTCTGCCAAAGAGCCTGGTGCCCTAGTCCCCAACCTCTCCTTCAGATGTATGCCAAAGTTTAAGAACTGCCTCAATGGTAAACCATCAGTTTCTATTCTCCAGAAAATATGCATTACAATTTATCTTTTATTTAACAAGTAGTTGTTATTTATTGATACTCCAGAAGCTTAAACTATAACTATTAAGCACAGTAGAAACTGATGTTATAGCATAAGGAATAAAGAGCTAAGTACCTGTATGAACTTGGAAAATAGCAGTTTTTCTAAGCCTTAGTTAATTGACACAGTGGATATAATAATGATACAAGCCTTGTGGTTTGTTTTTTTTGTTTTTTTTTTTTTTGAAATTTAAATGAGCTACCATGTATAACATACCTTTTGGTTTGTCAAATTTTGGTGTTCAGTTAATATTAGTCCTCTTAATGAGAGTAACAATTTCAGAATTTCCTCAGAGAAGTAGTTATTACTATTGTTATTTTGATACTAAGCAGTATTACAGACTAGAGCATTCAGTGGATATTAAATTACCATTCCAAGGTCTCCGAATCATTTTAATTTATGTGACTTTTTAATTGTTGCAGCCTGTAAACCAAATGATTCCAGAGAAACTGCTAACCACTATTTAGTCCTTAATTTCATTGTCTGTTCTGACCCTATAAGGTCTTAATTTCTCAGTTGAAGTCATTCACTATCCCTCTCTTAGCAGCTATAACTCTCTAAGTACAAGTATTCTAATATGTATACCCCAGAGAATGCTCTAACACATTGTAACCAGCATTGGTTTTCATTTGATCTTAAGATCTTTACCCAGTTTTTGTCCTGTATGCAAATTTGAGGAGGCTTGGCATTTGATGGTTTTTGATAACTACACAGGAGTTTTTCAGTAGAAAATGGATTGACTATTTCTCCTTTAAGAGAAGACGTAGGAGAGAAGGTTGTTTTAAATGAGTGAGGTATCTCTTACTTATGTTTAGCATAGTTGGGAGACAGTGTGACAAAATGACTAGTCAAAAGATAGGGGCCGAAGATTGAAAACCTGAGTTTGTCAGAAAAAGAGACGAAGAAAGCTTTGTCCTTTGTATTAGTGAACATAGATTGGCATTGCCTTTATAAGTAAAGTATTGGAAGTCTTCCAAATATATCATCTAAACACGTCAAAGACTTATTGATCTGTCTCTTTTGCACAATGCAAAGAACTTAAGGTGGCTTCTCTTTTTTTTCAGTTGTTACAGTTAAAAGATAAGTTTATGGTTTAACTATAGAAAATACAAATAGAACTCACAGGGGGAAGAGCAGATTTACCTACAGCAACCATGGAATACTATGGACTGTGCAATTTGATTAAAATACAATGTCACTCCGATAATGATAGTCAGATCCCACAAGAGGTGTTATGAGCAGTTCTGTTTCTTCACAAAGCTTTCAACAAAGATTATCCTTGTAAATAAACAAGAGAAAAGTCAATTAAAATTTGCATATTTTGAAATTAAACAGCTAGTTCTTAAATTGGATACTATTTTTACATAGACCAATTTATAAGGACTGGGGATATAGCTCAGCAGTATCACTTGCTTCTTGTGTATAAGGCTCTAGGTCAATCCCCAACACAGGAAATAAAATTTTTAAAAGGAAATTACATCGACCAGTTTCTATAGCTAGAAGAAAAGCTGAATTTGGATATGTTAAAGCAGCCTCACCTAAAAACATGACTTAAGTCACTTTAAAAAATGACTCCTTATTGATGCATAGGACGTGTAATTGGTTAATGCATATTAATTGGTTATAGAGGTCTCTTATTGTTTAATACACTTCCAGTATGGAGCAGGAATTGATCTATGGGTTTAAGTTAAGCCTGTAATTGAATGACTCTACTATTTGACAAATAGTAATATATTAAATAAAATGGGAACATGAAAATACTTTTATATTTGTAACTAATCTCAAAATGCAGTATTTAATTTTGTTTATTCCTTTTTAGACATTCTTAGAGTGATTTTAGGTTCTAACATTCTGACATGTATCCCCCATTGTAATATAAAGCACAATAGTTTCTTTTTTTATTTTTATTTTATGTGTATGAGTGTATTGTCTGCATGTATATAAGTGCACACATGTCATCCAATCTCCTGGAACTGGAGTTGTGGATAGTTATTAGCTAGCATGTGAGTGCTGGGATTCGAACCTAGGTCTTCTACAAAAAGAACCAGTGCTTTTAACCACTGAGCCATCTCTCCAGCCCCCATTACACAAGAGTTTCATTGCCCTGAAAATCCTTAGTAATCTCCTTTCTTAACCCCTAACAAACACTGATTTTTTTTTTTTCACTGTCCTTACATTTTGGCTTTTCCAGAGCATCATATAGTTAGAATTACACAGTATGTAACTTTTCAGAATTCTTTTACTTTTTAATATATGTTTAAGCCCCTCCGTGCATTTTTGTTGCTTGATAGCTCATTTCTTGTTAGTGCTGAATAATGCTTAATTGCCAGCATTCACCATAATTTATTCACTTACTAGAGGACACTTCTGTTACTTCCAAGGTTTGGTAATTATGATAAATAAAGCTACCTCTATAAAAACATCCATGTGTAGGGTTCCCCCCCACACCTTTTTTTGTTTTTTTGGGACAAGATCTCTGTAGCCCCAACTGGCCTGGAACTTGCTGTGTACTGGGCTGGCCTTGAACTCACAGAGGTCCATCTGCCTCGGCCTCCCTAGTGCTGGGACTAAAGGTGTGTGCCACCAAAGGGCTCCGGCCCAATATATATATGTTTCATTGAATTTTTTGTGCATTTTATATATCTTAATCATATTTAGACCTCCTCCCCTTGGGTGGGTTTCTTTTTTGTAGGCCTAAGTTTTTAACTGAGCAAATACCCAGATACATGATTACTGGCTCCTGACCGTAGTACATGTATGTACCTTTGTAAGTAACCACTATTGTCTTTCAAAGTGACTATCCCACTTGTATTCTCAGGGGCAGTGAGTGTGAGTTCTTGTAGTTCTTCATCCTCACCAGCATTCGTTGGTGTTGGTGTCTGTGGATGTTAGCCATACTAAAAAGTGTGTAGTATCTTATTTAGTTGCAGTTCCCAAATGATAAAACCTGTTGACCATCTTTTCACATACTTATTTGCCATCTGTATATCTTCTTTGGTGAAGTATACAAATAATTTGTTTTTGGTTTTAATATTCATTCTGTCTTTAGCCAGTAGTCCTTTATCTGATAGTATCTTTCAGTGTCTCTCCTCCCAGTATGTGACTTGTTCTCTCATTGTCTTGCATATTCCTTTCTTCCCCTTAAAAATGTTTTTACCTTTACACATATCTTCTAAATATTTTTGTACCTGAGAATTAACTATATCGTAAAGAATTTTGCCACTTAGAAGTTCATGTTTGAATTCCAAATACATAAAGCATTGATCCCATTAGACTTCAAATTTACTTTCCAGTGGCAGGAATGAAACTTGTAGATGAACACTTTGGAGAGTTTTCTTTCTCTGCAGCAGCCTTTCATGCCAATTAGAGTGCGAAGCAGCAGGGAGTGCCCCATCCGGTGATCTCCACAAGCAAGCACTTGATAGTTGAAAGTCACAGATTCCTTGGTAGCACCCTGCTGTATTCATCAAATCTGCATATTGTATTTAGTGATTTACCTAATAATGATTTTGCTTCTCAATGCAAGAAGACAGAGTATTAATAACACTAGTTTAAGTTTTCTTTTATAATCTGCTTTTCCAAAGAAAAAATCTTGCATTAAAACATGATCAATATACTTTGCAATACTGGTTGTTTACATAAATGAAAGGGTTGAATTATTTAATCATTTTGTCAAATGAATATACCTATAATAGTACAAGAACTAAGTATTAACCCTCTTTATTGTTAAAATAATGTTCTTTGTTCTCTGATTGAGTTTACAGATAGTATTTCCAGACCTTGGTTATTATGTTAATTCAGTGGCTCCATTCATTGAAAGGGATCCAATTTCTGGCACATGAACTCACTGCCTTTCCCTAGCCACTTTCTCTGTTCCACGGAGGAGTAGCAAACTAAGCTTATAATGAGGAAAAGTAGCCAAAAGTATGAAATGGAAAGAGAAGAAAGCCATCAGAATTTTGGCAAATAGGAAATAAATCAATAAATGAGTTGAACTTTGGAGTTTTGTTTTTTTTAAAACCCTGGAAATGTTAGCTTTTTAATTTAATGAAAACTGTGCATGGATTGTGGGTTTAGGCACAATCCAGAGAGGATAGGGTTTGACTGATATAATTAGGATTTTCTCTTTTTTTTCTAAAGACATTAGAGTACTATATAAGACGGCAATTAGATATTTTTTGTTTTATCAGCGTAATCAAAAGCTTAGCAAAAGAAATGAATCCTTTATAAACACAAATTTACTTAACATTAAGTTTTTTTAATTGGAAATTGCTGCTACAGTGTTTATTATGGCCTATTGCTGGAAATTACAAGTACTGGTAATAGAATACTGTATACTATTTTAGGAAAAATGACAGACAATATTTTATTTTTAGTTCTTTATAATTTTTACTACTGCATATAACCTTAGGTTTTCTGATGTAGAATTACTTACAGTTAGGTTATTTGGAAAGTTATATTTAGCATCTTAAAAAACTTATCAGTGGCTTAATAGAAATATATTTGAATTTATTGACATGATTATGTTGCATGATATTCCAAATCAGTAAAACTTAAAATATAAGGCAACCTCTTGTGTTTGTGTTAGCATATTACTGAGAATGTTCCTTTTTAATCTATTAAGGTTTTTATATCATTGCAAATAAATGTTATTTTTTTGCTGTATATATTTATGCATTTTCACTGTAACAGAACAAAACATTGATGTGCAAAATCTTGCCCAAACTTTGGAGGGAGTCTAAAATCAGAGGAGTTGTATAAGTGTAACAAATAGGCAGACAGCTGGCCATTCCATACTCATGTTTCTCCAAACCTCAAACTTGGGAGTTCATTTGCATATGTTGACAGAATCAGGAATATGCAATAGGTATTTGAGTAAATATCAAAAATAGATATTTGAATAAAATATCTATGTAGTTACCATCTTATATAATCATTTAACATGTGTTTAAAATTTATTGCATCCCATATTTTCCTCTGGAATATGGAATCTAATCTTACTTTAATACGCTTTCAGGTCTACATGTATAAAAGTGCTCTTTTTGTTACAGTATGCCTGCTTCATTTGTGAACAGGTCTATCTTTTAAATGTGTTCTATTTAAGTGTATTAATAGTATGTTCTCGTGCTCACGTTGGCAAAATCTTGAGAATTTTTTTAAGCCCTTTGATAGCCTAGTCATCTTGGATTAATTTTTCTGAAATGTTTTTTGTTTGCAGGAAGAACAGGCAGCAAAATTGAAGGCTGAGAAGATCAGAGTTGCCCTAGAGAAAATTAAAGAGGCACAAGTAAAAAAGGTGATGTGCGGCTTTTTGCTTGGTTTGAATTTTTTGTCAGGCTTCTCTTTTTGTTTTGATTTATGAAGAATTTTCTTGTTTATATAATGTTCCTCTAATTTATGAGAAGGTGGAAGAGTATTTCTTCCTAATAATATCCTTTTTACATGTGCTTTTTGTGGGCAAGATGTTTTATGGAAGAAATACTTTTGTTTGTAATTCCCTCTGCTGCTTGCTTGCCAAGTATATGGTCTGCACAGTTACTTTGCTTCTGAATAAAGTTTCCTTGCCATTTTCAAAAATGAATAAAAAAATAATAAAACACACTGGAGAGATGGCTCAGCAGTTAAGAGCACTGGCTGTTCTTGCAGAGGACCCAGGTTCAGTTCCCAGCACCCACATGACAGCTAACAACATTCATAACTCCAATTCCAGGGGATCCAGTGCCCTCTTTGGACATCCAAATGCACACAGGTGCACTTACACACATGCAGGCAGTACACTCATATATATATAAAATAAAAATAATAAATAAAATATTTTGTAGAACAGAATAGCATACTAATCTTGTAATCTTAAGTATTATGTATTTTAATGGGCTTTAAATTTATTTAGGTAGGTTTCTTAGTATTCAGATTTTACCTATCTTTCATAATAAACTTGCTGTTTATATCTTAAAGACATGAATCAGACTGTTACTCAGTATTGGAAAAAAATCCCTTTCTAGAATGTCATTTAAGATTTGTTTCACTTAATCTCATTTTCACTGTTACAGCTGGTGATCAGGGTCCATATGTCCGATGACAGCTCTAAAACAATGATGGTGGATGAGAGGCAGACAGTGAGACAAGTTCTGGATAACTTGATGGACAAATCCCACTGTGGCTACAGTTTAGACTGGTCGCTGGTGGAGACTATTTCTGAGTTACAAATGGGTTTGTAATGTCCTTGCTTTAATTGCTTATTAACATTTATTAATACAACCGTCTTCATACTGTAGAAGCATTTTCAGTTTTCTGTAAGATTACCAGGTAGTTTGACTCTTTTATAATTTGACTTTTTATATTTTTTCCCCAGTATTTGGTGAGTTCTTTGACCAAAAGGTAAATTCCAGTTAACTTTAGTTTTTTGTTTTTTGTTTTTTTTAAAAAAAAGGTTGGGGCTGGAGAGATGGCTCAGCAGTTAAGAACACTGGTTGTTCTTGCAGAAGATCTGGGTTCAAATCCCAGCACCCATATGGCAGCTAACAACGGTCTGGAACTCCAGTTCCAGGGGCTCCGATGGCCTCTTCTGTCCTCTGCGGGCATTGCACTACATGGGTGCATTTACCTACATGCAGGTAATACATGCATACACATAAAATAAAAATAATAAATAAAACCTTAAAAAAAAGAAAAATGTAATCTATTTTACCTGTATAATTTCATAACATCTGGTATTTTGTACGGCATATACAGTGCAAAGGATTTTGAAATGGAAAAAATTAGTTATTCAATAGACAACTTGAGTTGGTTCATTGATTTTGGTGTTCTCCCAAACAGTGAGATGCTGCATGTGAGACCA